AGGGAATCACCAGCCCAGTAAAATATCATTGATATGCTCTTTTAACGGTAAATCAACTGTTTATGAAATGTTGAAAATTATTCGAAAGGTTTTTACTACCCCTATGTGTAGATTGCCTCACCCTTATTAGGCACAACACGTTTAACTTTTAATTTCTTAATGCTCGTCAACTTCATAATTGATTTGCCACACCCCCCCCCCTACCCCCCAACTGATAAATTCGAGCTTCACTGTTGACTCTTATGTAGACACAGAAACTCATCTAAGATACCAGGGTAAATAAACTGTTGTACGCAAAACGGGCGTTTCGTCTACTAAAAAAACTCATCTAAGATACCAGGGTTAATAAACTGTTGTACGGAAGAAGGGCGTTTCCTCTACAAAAAAACTCATCTAACATACCAGGGTTAATAAACTGCTGTACGCCAGACGGGCGTTTCGTCTTCAAAAAAACTCATCTAAGATACCAGAGTTAATAAACTGTTGTACGCCAGACGGGCGTTTTGTCTACAAAAAACTCATCTAAGATACCAGGGTTAATAAACTGTTGTACGCCAGACGGGCGTTTCGTCTACAAAAATACTAATCTAAGATAACAGGGTTAATAAACTGTTGTACGCCAGACGGGCGTTTCGTCTACAAAAGACTCATCAGTAACGCTCGAATCAAACAAGTTATATACGAAGTTGAAGGGCATTTTGGAAAAACATTCCGATAGGTTTTGCCAGACACAGCTAATGTTATCTATTCCTAGGGTAGAAAGTTCTTAGTAATTTAAAAAACGTTTTGTAAAAAGTTAATTATTAAATTTATGAAACTCAAGTATCGTTCAAATTATAATGCAGGTATCATTGATGATTTTTTTTTTATTGAAAGACGGATCATGGGTCCAAACTTCACTTAGAAGGATCTGGCACTGCTTTGTTTAATTTTCTGTTTTCGAGATCTTCGGGTTTTATAATAAACATCTACAAAGAATGGAATTTCCTCCAGGAGAGAATCGAAATGCAAACTTTGTTTAAATCTGCTGGAATTTGATTATTTAAATGTTTAAATAATTATAGGTCTACAAACATTATACACATATCAATATGGCAATGATGATATCATTCATAAAAACAAACGGCCAAACCTGTGTGAAGACAGTGTTGATATAAAATTGCAAATCTTATATATCTTTGTTGTTTCAAGTTGCATACAAGACATCCTTAATAAACCTACATTTTGTCCATACATAACTTACTTTCAAAGAATTTTATTTTGATTAAGGATGTTCTCCTTATTAAATTTTGCGATAATTATGGAAAATTTACCAAAATCTACCAAAACTGCAGTACTGAGAAATCTTTAGGTCTGTAATTTTTTTCACTTATTCAGAATATGTCATAAGGTTATGAAAACGTCACTGGATTGAAAAGCTTCTACAAATGACCCTTCTTGAAATCTAAGAAAAATTAGCCTTGCTTTAATCATTGGTTGACGTATTTACTACCAACAGAGAAAGTAAAACTAATGATTGTTTTGATCAACTTGTATTAAACATAATCAAATTCATAAAGTTTCCATTGCAGATCTTTTATATAAATATTAAAAGCATAATTGTATTGTAGTAATTGGTATGAAATAAAACTATGACCCAAAGTCTTTTCAATCGAAATATGAATAGAAAAAATTAAACAATACAATAAAAATAATGGAATTGTACTCACTTTCCGTTGTATTGATCTGATCAAGCAAAATGGATAAAAACCAATATTATGTTTTACTTGTCACACCATACTTGTAAAAGATGTATAAAATTCATGAAAAGTAAATAATCTTTTTAAAAAAATGGAAACTATTAAAAACAAATTGTGCACTCCGTAAAATAAATAGCTATTTCTACTAAAAACAAGAGGCGGCAAATACTAAATAGACATTCAAAACTCATATGTTGATTGAAAACTTTAATGTACAAAAACTATGATACAAACTATGAGGTTAAAAAAATGTGTTTTTTTATATATATTTTTCACCGAATGAGCTTGAAACAAAATAAGAAAAATACGAAGGATTGATCACAAAGTACGACACCATTTTATATATCATAATCATTTGATAGACAATCTGCGACTCGATATAAATCACAATAACATGTATTAAACATACACATCCCTAACTTAGTTTTTTTCATCCTCAGCTTTTACATTTTTGGTTGAAAGCGTTCTTAATAAAGGCAAATCTAGAAAAGCTTTTTGGAATCTTCAAATTATAAAGTGTTATTTTCATGTAAAAAATCCTCACACCATTGAAACGGAACATTTCGTTTAGCAAACGTTTTGGCTAGTATAATGCCTGTTACAAAAGTAGTTTTAGTAATTTTTATTTCACGTTCATTGAAGTATGAGAAATAACTATTACTACTTATGGAAGAAGCCAATGGAACATCAGCATCATGAAAAGAAACATTTGCATAGAAAAGGGAAAAGTTGTTCCGTGTATCATCCATTTTGTGTGCCCTTAAAAATATGTAAACAAGAGTGAAAGGGGCAAACAACCTTTGTATCATAAAAGTTTTCAAACGGACAAAGAATTATCAATGTTTATACTTTTGATAGTATTTCATGAGTGAATGTGTCAATGTATTGTAACAGTATAGGGCCAATAATAAGTCCAGTCGAAAGAACTATTGGTTGGAAAAAAATCGTTGTTTTAAAGTCAATACCATTTGTATAAAATAAGCATTATACAGGAAAATCACAAACAAATGATCACGAGAGCATACAATGTGTGTATCAGTATGTCTATTTTTTTTAAAATTTGCATTGCCATGTTGCACTATTTTTAAAATTTACATACGACTTTACTTTACAATAACATTGACGGTGCCAATTTTACTGTAACAAATGCGTATTTTGACAATTGGTGTCGTTCAGTGATGCTCGAGTGCAAAGTATTTGAAAGTCGAAAACTAAGTAATATCGTTAAAGAGCTTATAATCCTTTGATTTTTATTCATATGACAAAATTGTGATTCCCGTTTAAGTTTGTAATCCTAAAACGGTGTCTACAGAATCTGCATAGACTTATGATATATACGTGTTTGTTTAGAAGTTTGGAAAGTCCTTATCGTTGAAAATTTGAGGGACAAGACATAATTTGAAATTGACAATGCATATTAGCAAAAGTAAGTATTTTGAAGGGACGGTGCACAAATAACCTGATGAATGGACTTGTTAATGCTCAGTTTTGTGTCTAATATAGTCAACTGTAGTTTACCAATTTTTAAATGTTTCTTCCCACCTAAAGATTTCTATATCAAATCTTATATATAGCTTCATCAAGCTCGTGCTGTTATCCATATAAAATGGAATTCTGATAGAAATTTTTTGAAGCTTATCATACAACTCTAATAAACATTTGTCCTATGTGAATTGTATGACGTTCAAGTAACATTTCTTTGATTTATCATAAAACTGCTTCTCCTCCCTCTCATTGAAAATGGTAGGTTAAACTTGATTTTATAGCTAGCTAAATCTCCTTCTTATATGACAGTTGTTAATAGTTCAGTTAGATTTACATTATTGGGTGAGCAACCGAAACAGCTATGATAATTAATGTGACAATACTTTGGATCCAGCAGCCAAAACATACACATAAATCTAACAAAGACGCCAACAAAAAAGATGTTGTAGTTGATAGTAAATCATCAAAGACGCAGATAAAAAGTTTTTGTAGTTGATAGTACTCATCGTTTACGTATGAAGTATACACTCTCTCGATAAAGTACAAAATAAGTAAAACATAATTAGAAGGATTAACAAAACTGAAACAACACTGTAAAAACATCTTCGTCCGAAACTAAAGACAAACCTGCACCAGGAACACCCAGAGTCAATTACTCGATAGCGGATGCATAAATACAAGTCACGTAAAAAATCATACCACAAAATGAAGCATTCTAGCACGAAAAAAAAAAATAAATTGAAATATGTTAAGTAAATAAAAAGATATACAACTTCAGCACCTAGAATCTATAACTCAAGACCATCTTGTATTATTGGTGAAATATTTATCTATAAGTTATTGGTTCTTTCGAATGAACTTTTTGAGAAAAAAAGACAAAACCCTGGCTCGTTCAGTTTTTGCTCAGACACCGATGAGTTGAGAAATGTATACTACATACGTAGGTGAAGTTAGTATATTGCTGCTAAGGTGATGAACATTTATAATTACATTGAAATCGTCTCGTTTGTCATTGATTCTGGTACTGAAATTACAGGTTGATGTCTAACAATGAGGCGGAAGAAGCTGTATCTGTGTTTAATTTAATTTAATCTCTAGTTAAGAAGGATATGTTATTAGGACCCAATTAAGAAAAGTTTGGATTGTTGATGGAAAGAACACCAACAATATATCCGTGCAATTATGTGCAATTTAATGATCTAGCTTCTTTGATCTTTTTGATTTTACAATTGTCTGAAGGAAATCCGTTTTTTAAATCTTCATGTGGTATGATGGTGTAAAGGGTGGAAAATTGAGATTTTGATAGAATTCAGTTGAGAGAATAACCGAGATTAAAAATTTTCAGATGTTTTTTTGAGTTCTTTAGAATCGACGTATGGTTAATGCCACTACGCGAGTAAACAGTATTTCTGTAATCCCTTCTTCTGTAGGCCGTACGATTGCCTATAATTGCTTACATCCACTTTATTTTAACTTTGGTGGATATTTGTCTCATTGTCAATCATACCACATCTACCTTTTTTTATGTTTATGAATTAGGTATCCAATATAACCAAGATTTGTCGTCAGATTTGTTACTCATTGAAATATTTTATAAATGTTTACATACGATTAATACACCTTCGTGTATTGTTTGATAGTGATTGTTGTAATCTTTAATTTCTTGAAAAGGGTGTAAATGTTTTATTTGTGTTTTGTTTAATACTGCCTCCAAATCAATAAATCAATCACAACTATAAAAATTGATTAGTGCATACCAAAGGAACTAAGAGGAAACACAAACTAAACTTTATTATTCATCGTTCATATCAATATTGACCGTTTACTTCTTCCTGTACTAATATTTATAAGAATATCTTTGTTTCAATAATATTTTCGTCCCCATCGACCTTTATTCCAGCCTTTATTCCATCCATAACCTCTGGGATATCCTTTGTATCCGTTATATTTACCTCCGTATCGCCATGGATAATTATAGTTTGGGCCTTTATACTGAAATATAGAAAAACGATACAAGTGAAAATCAATTCTGATGTAGAAATATAAAGTAAGCAATTTTTTTTTTTGATTTCAATAAAACAAATACAGATATATGAACAAAGTTGTCAATGATTCAAGACTACTCTGGCTTACAGATATATGAACAAAGTTGCCAATGATTCAAGACTACTCTGGCTTACAGATATATGAACACAGTTGCCAATGATTCTGTTTACATGTATGACCTCTTTCTTGGTTCTTATTTTTTTTGCCTTTGACTTTCACAACACTTTGAAATTGAGAATGGAAATGGGGAATGTGTCAAAGAGATAACAAGCCGACCAAAAGGCAGAAAACAATGCAACCATGATAAAAGATATTCCGAAACACATGTTTATATGACATGTTTACTTATTGATTGTTGGTGACCTTGTTGTAACTGTCAAAAAAAAAATTAAACACTAATAATTATATTTTCCTCCAAGATTGGAACCGGCTCGGTGTTCTCATGATAGCGTGCTTGCCTTGATTTCTGAAGGGTGTGCTTTAGAATCCAGGCCGGGTCAAACCAAAGACTTGAAAAAACTGATCGGCTCGGAGTCAGAATAATGTGCCCGGGTAGTATGTCTTCCTATGAACTGTTACTACCGAACTAGCACGTGACCAATGCTACTCAACGTGTCGTAGTACAAAGCAAGGTTTATATTTCATATCACATAATCATTATCTCGTCCTGAATATGCATTTTATTTTCCACTGAACGTTAAAGATTCATTAGATATGTATCAATTTATCCTCCATGATTGGTTTTATTAGACAAAACATGGGTGACCTTACGTAAAAGATGACAGTTCAAAAACAGAAAAATCCAGATCCGGGAACTCGTTAAACACCTGTATGTAAACACGTGGATATAAGTAGAAGTTGTATTTTTAAATCATCAGGTTGTGTTAATGCCCAAAAAGTTTAAAGATAAAAATACCTTTTAAATAAATATCAGCCAAAAACAGAATAAACTACCGATATGCAATAGCTGTATTTTCTACCGTTGTTATAACGTCCTACTTTAAAACAAGATTATTTATATACAATTAGTTACACATGACAATTGCATTGAAATGAGGTACATTGTGTAATAATGAAACCGGTTAATAAACAAGGATGTTTCGCTTTATAATATTGTGATATTATGTATGATCTTTTGTGATTTATTTTTGTAATGATGATCATTTAAATTAAACCTTGTATTTTGATATTTTGTAGGTGTTTTTTTCGCAAGATCTATCTATTGTGTGTTTATGCCAAGGTTTTCTTTGAATCATTATCAATCTCAATTATCATAGAAAATATATTTTATTATGTGGAACAACAACACGCGCCAAATGTGCCTGTTATCTCTTGATTAAACATCAGATCAATATGTTACAAAAAGATATATAATTTTAATTTTGATTACTTTTATAGGTCATGAATCTTAGAACATAATAAAGAGTCAATCAAAAGTTCTAGATTGAATAGAAATTGTAAATATGCTTGCAAAAAAAAAACGAGGTGGCAAATACGGAAGTGACAACAAATAAACATTCATTTTTAAAACAAATAGACAAAAATCTCTGTACAATATGTCAAACCTTAAATCAAACGAATCTATAGTGCCTTACAAAATTGTGCGAGGTAGACGAATCCGGACTTAAAATGCTCTAATTAACTTTTTTAATGCAAAAATAGGCAGATCGGTTATATTTTGTCTTCATTTACGCATGGCTTTCATTTGGATTAAATTGGAATGATCACAACTTAAGGAGACTGAAAAATGCTATATTCAGTTGAGACACACACACTTTTTTACTTGCGTAGACGTGCGTAAAATATATTTTAATTTCTTTCTTCAAACTGATAACTTTTTCAAAGAAGAAAAACGCCTGATGTGTAAAGTTTCTCAAATTTCTGAATAATGCGCTATTTCAGTATTGTAAAATTTCTCAGTGATACGAAATTGTGACGAAAAAGTAAGTAATGGCGAATCGAACTTTTTATACCTTGCGTCTCATTGATAAAAATAACATGAACTTGTCCAGTGTCCTGTTTAACGATTAATTAAATTACTGAACACGTGTGTGTAAAAAGAAATGCAAATGAACCTGTTTTCACATATACAGAATATAATTTTATCTTACAGGCATTCAGATTAAGAACTTCCAACAAAGTTTAATTATGACTTATTCAGTATAAAGGTCTGGATGCATGGGGGTCTTTTGTCTGCATTCTAGAATTTTTAGGCCATTTTTCTTAATTCTTTATTTATTTGGCCCATTATCCTCTAGTCTGTAAGATTGTACCCCTATTATCCTTTAGTCTGTAAGATTGTACCCCTATTATCCTTTAGTCTGTAAGATTGTACCCCTTTTATCCTTTAGTCTGTAAGATTGTACCCCTATTCAGACCCTAACGTTTATGAACATTTTTTTAACGTATTTTTTTTATATAAAAATCAATGAGTGAATTTGTTCGACTTGAACTGTTAGGATAGAGAACAGAAATCTAAAAACAAATCATAACTATCATTGTTAATCTACAAACAAGAGCAATTTTATAATTTCTTAAAGAATTTTTAACCTCCGAACTAAAGTTGCCATCCCTGTCTTCATAAACAATTATCTTTACGTAATTAAATTCATCGTACTGTAAAAAGATACGCACGATAATTTTTGTTACAGGTAAACAGGTACGATGAAGCAATAATAACTTCACCAAATCGAATTTCGCAAGATTCAACAACAATGACCAGTCCATATTAGAATAAGGGGTAAACTATGTTGGGGTATTTAGAAATGATAGATTTTTAATAAAATTTTTGGTAAATATTACAAAACACTCATCTTCCAAACTTTGTGTTTCAATTTTAAAAACATATATATTATTTATTGGTATAGTTTTTCAATCTGTCATTAGCGTTTGTAAGCAAAAGAAAGTTTGGGCTTTAAAATTCATCAAAATTATTTAAAACTTTATACAGAAAATTCACCTTCTCAAAGTATTAATTTATTAACACCTAATACACGGATACATAGCATAATCATTTCTTAGGATACTGAACAAAAAAAAGTGTTTATTCAGTGTCATTGCCACAAAGTGCGTTAAAGAAAACTATTATATAGCAAACAACTAATTGCTTCACAAAATCTTATCACACACTATAGAAAGTAGTGAATAAATCACAAAGAAGGGTAAAAAAATGCATTACAACTGTTACACCAGATTCCAACAAAAAGAATGTTTAAATAAAGCAATCTACCGCTGGAGATGATGAATTGGGACAGCCATGTAAATATATAATAAGATTGCTAAGTAATTAAAGACCCAAACCCAACGATTTGTTTTGAAACAAGGTGGATATAGATTTTTTAGACTAAGTATGAAGTATTAATGTGTAGTACGCATGGAAAAATTGAGACATCAATCTAACAAGCCATAAGGACAACTGATGTGAACAACGTAAGGTCACCGTACGGCCTACACATAATTTCCCTCGAAACACATTCATATTTTCAGATCTTTAAAAATATTAAGACATTGGTTATGAAATCAATGTACGATAGATAAAACTGATATAATATATTTATGTAATTTCTTGTAGTTGCTAAAGTTTCATGTATACAATAGCTCTCATCTCTGTGTTCCATGTCTATATTGTTAATTTTAGCCAGAATTGTATGCTGTGTAAAAGATCCATAACATTGCTTGTAATTGTTATGTGAGATAAAAACCTACAGGTATTTTTAAACTTACAGCACCTGCATCTGAAAAAAAGCAAAAATAAATAAAATCACATTAGTCGTAAAATCTATTTGTTAATAATGTCTGAAACTTTATTTGCGAATGAAAAACAAAAATGACTATATGAGTGTATTGTAAGTAAATCTAGTATGTGAATTCGTCATTTACCATGAAAAAGAGAGGCGAAAGTTACCAAAGGGACATTCAAACTCATAAGTCGAAAATAAATTGACAACGCCATGGCTAAAAAAGGAAAAGATCAGCAGACAAACAATAGTACACAAAACACAACAAAGAAAACTATAGAAAACTATAGGTTGCACTTTGTAAATACAGCTGTTTCTCAAACCACGCCTCTTTTGGGGAGATATTTAATATTCATAGGTATGTTAATTTGTTAACGTACTGGTTCCCATTGATGATCTCTGTGTTTCATCTCATAGAGAAATCACTTGGGAATGTAACCAGTATAGAAGAACATGGTAGCGGCTAAATTTTAATTCTTAGGAGGTCCAAAAATGGAGGTAAGGGTAGTATAGAATTTTAGTATAAGTTTAAACTCTTAGAAGTTCAGGGCATATAAATGTTGAAAATATGCCGCACAGCCCTATATTTTGACCTTTGAATAAAATAGTAGTGCATATAAACTTTCCGTTCTGGGATATTATTTTTCACAGTTTTAGCCGCATAGGGAGTTCCTATGGGAAATTGCATTGTCTGTATTTACAGAATTGCAACCTATAGACTGAGCAACACGAACCCCACCAAAACCTGGGGGTGATCTCCATAATATATAGATATCTTTTAACAACCATTTCTATTGTTACTAAGTTTTCAGATTTATTTTGTCCTGTTTCAAACAATGCCTTCGCATTTCAAATGTACGGATGTTATGATGAATAAAAACCTGATGAAAAGAAAGTAATAAAAAGTGACATGTTTAATGTGCGCAAGCTCACTATTACATTGTTTTTTTTTCTATTACATGTGTTATTAAAATAACAAGACTAAAACTATTTTTTTTCAGATATTTTACACTTCGGCTATTTTGAATATGATGCAACTGTTTCATATAGACTGTTATCATACATTTTTGCAGTTACTAAAATTTAAAAGAAATCCAGAATAAATTTCAACAATTTGTTTGACATTTATTAAAAAAAACCCTTGGAAGAATGAAATATTTTTAACAATTCTTTTTATGACAAACTTTTACTCACCACTTTGCACGGCAAATGATCCTAGAAGGACCAAAGCCACCAAAACTGCAATACTGAGATTTTTCATTGTTTTATATTCAAACCGTTTACTGGAAGAATCTGATTACTGAGAATTACCTTCTACTCTAGCTGACAATTGTCTGAGCTTTATATATACTTTGTTCATTCAACTTACTGCAGATCTGTTAATCAAGAGGAAAAATAATCACACGCATATTCCTGTAACAATAGGATTAGAATTAAAATAAAAATAGCTGTGCATTACATACTCTGTATACATTGTCAAATTATTTGCAAGAATGGATATTAAAAAAAATTAAAAATTAAAAAAATGTAGATTATTTCATCATTATCATCCTTTAAAAGAAAAATAAAGCTGTTGTAATAAGTGATAAAATTGTTTCTGTTTTTAAAACAAATGCATAGCAATTACAAAACATTACTTTGCTACTTCACATAATCAATTATTCAAAATGGAACAAAGCTGGTTATTTGGTAATTACCAGTGCTGGAGAGAGTTGAAAATGTGTAAACAAAGACGAAAAAGATGATTGTAGGCATTTTTTCAAAATAAAAAGTGAAAAAAAAATAATTTACGCTGTTTTAGTATGCGTAATACAAAAGTGCTCATTTCAAATACATCTAGGACGGAACAAAATAAACAGAAGGGTTCCTAGAGTCCTATACAAAAATCTGCACGACAATTTTTTTAATGAGAAACCGTAACAATTTATCAAAAATTAAATTGTGCATTTTCTCAGTTTAGTTTAGCTTTGTGCTGATGAGTCTTGATAAGGTGCTAGTGATTTGTGACAAGACGTTAGTGCGATTTGAATCAAGCATTACAGAATCAAAACCATTGGGCAAAAAATTGCAGTCAATCGTATTTTTGCTCCAATGTTTACCTTTAGACATCCGTTTCACGGTAAACAGTGCACACTGGGACATAGTCAACATTGGATTACATGCATTTATTGGGGGTCATAAACCATGAACTGCTAGGGAAGTGAAATATTGCTACCTGCTGGGCCAATTAACAGGTGGTCATCCATGTGTGTAATTTTACTGCCACAGGTTCACTATTTTGATTCATATTTTGGACATGTAAAGGTTCATGTTACCTTTTTTTTACAGGTGATCTTTTGATAGGAGAAATCAATCAAACAGGAAATGAAAAAAGAACTTTGTTTGTATAATTATAGAAAATATTAATTAATTGTACATTTTCACAAATTATATGATCTAAATCATATGTAAATGCTATCTTGATTCATTACTAATCAAAAGATCAAAATTATTATCGAGTAAATTATGTTCATTTATTATATATTTCAAATTAAAGTGCTAGGTCAAAGGTTAGAAGAAAAATAGCCAAATGTCATAATATAAACATTTTGTATGTTGTACAGTCATTGCTTGTTTTTAAACCCATAAGAAACAAAATTAAAACTTTTTCAATTATTTCTTTTCATTTTTATTCGAAAAGAACGTCGGAAATCATCTTTTTTGTTTTTGTTCACATATTTTAACGATCACCAGCATTGGTCATGACCAAATCACCAGCACATGACATTCTCTGGTATGACAACCTTACCCACCGTGTAAGTTTTTAATAAGCTTTCTTCTATTTTGAATAATTGAATAGGTGAGCGTTCGTCTATTTTGAATTAGTGAATAGTTGTGCTTTCTTCTTATTTGAATAACTGATTAGGTGAAGTAGCAAAGTAATATTATGTAATTGGATTGCATTTGTTTAAAAAGTAAAAACGGTTTTGTCACTTATTACAATAGATATATTTCTCTTAATGAAGCATAATGATGAAATAATCTACTTTTTTGGGATTTTTTTATTCTTTCAATTTCCATTGTTGCAAATAATTTGACAAGGTAAACGGATTATGTAATGCACTGACATTTTATTTTAATTTTAATCTTATTGTAACAGAAACATGTGTGTGATAATTTTTCCTCTTGATTAACAGATCTGCAGTGAGTTGATTGAACAAAGTATATATAAAGCGGAGAAAATAGTCAGCTAGAATATTGGGTAATTCTCAGTAATCAGCTTCTTCCTACAAACGGTTTGAATATAAAACAATGAAGAGTCTCAGCATAGTAGTTTTGGTGGCTTTAGTCCTTATTGGATCATTCGCTGTGCAAAGTGGTAAGTAAAATTTGTCTTAGAAATATTGTTTATTATCGCTGTTTTGTGCATTTTTCCTTTGATCTTTTTCATATCATGCTACTCGCTTGCAATGGAAAATTATCGCAAGAAATTAAGGGTCACTTTGTCAATGTAAACATCAACAACGTCATAGGCAGAATAGCAATGAACAGATTACCAATGGTCTTTAAAGCTCGAGAATGTTTCTCGGCAACATCTCATCTCAGGGCTGTTGCCCTTTGATGAGATTGTAGCTGAAAAACACCCTCTCGTTTGAAAAAAAAACAACCATAATCCATAATTTTATTTTTTCATTCATTGCAGTTTTTTATCAAATGTCAAACAGACTAAGCATCTGTTGATATCTATTCTATGTCGGATTTTAAAAACATTTTGGTAATTGCAAATAAAAAAGTAGTCTCATATTGATAATATCGGCCAAAGAGTATACAATTTTAAACGAATTATTTTTTGTCTTTTTATCTTACTAAAACTGAACAAAATAAATAGTGTGCTTGCGCAAATTAAACATGCAAATTTTCTTTACTCTCTTATTTTACAATTTTAAGTATCTTTATTCATCATTGTATTCGTACAAATAAAATGCAAACTAGGTAAATGTGCATTATTGACCATTTGATCAAAATATGACAAAATAAATGTGAAAACGTATCTAGATAAAATGATAATTGAAAGATATCTGTATATTGCAGGTTTGTTCCCAAATTAAAATATTCATTCAGTCCCAGTCATGAGGCTCTGTCATTTTATAGTCTTTTATCTCTTTTTAATTTTAGTTCATTTATATTTTTTCCGGAGTTTAGTGTGACGTCCATTTCCGATGAACTAGTATACATTATTGTTTAGGGGTCATTTGAATCCCGCCTCCGGACGCTGTATTTTTTTCGCTGTGTGGAAGAACTTTTGATGTACTAGGGCTGTTTTCTGCTGTTTGGTCGAGTTGTTGTCCCTTTGACACATTCCTTGTTTTCATTCTGAATTTATTCCATATTTAAATTTGTACTATTCATCATTCCTGGTAAATAACGAACTCATATTATTAGATTGGCTTACACTGCACTCATAAAGTCATGTCGTTTTAAGATATTATTTTTGTTTTGCAATTTGAGACTAGACAACAAATAAATTTCAAGGCTAATTGAACATTATTAATGATTGATATTTTTTTTTTCAGATGCAGGTGGTGTAAGTTTAAAAAACCTTTAGTGTTTTATGTGACCTAGCAATAACAAACAATATAATGTATCGAAGAGGTATCCTTTACACAGTATACAATATTTGGTTAAATGAACAATATAGACATGGAACATAGAGATGAGAACCTTTGCTAAATGAAATATAGCATCTACAAGTAATAACATAAGTGGATAGACCACTTTCGAGTTCGTTGCATTTCCGTCAAAAACTTTGGTTTTAGTGAACATCATTCTTGCGTTTAGGTGCATCATCACTTCCTTCCAATGTTGAGCGAGCGGTTGACAAAAATATGATGCTATATCACACGAATTATTTGGCAAATTAAATTCCTATAATTGATAATCACCACTGCTGTCATTAGGGAATTGTGATTAAGTACCTACGGAACAAACATTATTTCTAGTTTATCCTGCATAATGATGATCATGAAGACTCTTGGTGATCTTTAATAGTACAGGGATACAGGAGGGCCCCTCTATCTTTTAAATGACCTCATAAAGGCTTGCATAATTGACGAACTTTTCCGGTGAAGGACATAACACGGAAGTGGTCTATTGTATCAGTTTTATCTATCTTCCATTGATTCAATAAGAAATGTCTTAATGTTTTTAAATATCTGAAAATATAAGTGTTTCGAAGGAAATTATTTTCTTTTTACAGGCCGTACTGTGACATTACGTTGTTCACATCAATTGTCCTAATGTCTTTTTTGATCAATGTGTCAATGGTTGCAAGCGTACTACTTGATAATAATTTATATGGAGTTTTAAAAATCAATATCCGACGCATTTAAACAATCCTTGGGTGATTGGTACTAAATAACCCTGCTATATGTTTACTTGTATGTCCATTTTAATGATCTCTAGCGGTAGATAGCTTTATGTTAATATTGTTGTGGGAATCTGGTGTCACAATCAAACTTGGACGTTCTTTTGAGATTTATTTGCTGTGGCCTTTAGTTTGTAATAAGATTTTGTGAGGAAATTTGATGGTATTCCTTAAACGCACTTTTTGCCAATAACACTTACTATGCGAAATGAAATTTTGTGTAGTATTTCAAGAAATGATTTTGTTATGTATCCCTGTATTTTGTGTAAATCAGTTAACGCTTTAAGGAGGCAAACTTTCTGTATAAAGTCAAAATGTTGTTGAATTTTGAAGCCCAGACTTCTTATTGCTTTAAATATACAAAGGGAAGATCGCAAAAAATATGCCAATACAGAAATATAGTTTTGTTAACTTCAGACAAAAAGTATGGGTGATGAGTGTGTTGTAGTATTTACAATAAGTGTTATGAAACCTGACATTTTCTCCCTACCAAATTTACCTCCAACACTTAATTTGATATGGACTAGTCAGTGTTGTTGAATCTTACGAAATTCGATTGAATGAAGTTACTATTGCTTCATCTCACCTGTTTTCCTGTTCAAATTTGTCTTGCGTATTTTTTGTCAGAACGGACATTTTATTGCGTAACGACTATGGTTTATAAGGACAGTGAGGTCAACTTTAGTTCTGAAGTTGAAAATTCTTTCATAAATAATAAAATAGCTTTGGTTTCTGGATTAAGAATTTTAATTATGAATTGTCTTTAGTTTTCTGTTCTCTATTCTAAAGGTTCATGTCGAACAAATTTACTCATTGATTATTTTTAAAAATATGATAAAAAACCATTTTCATCAGGGTCTGAATAGGTTTATAGACTCGTAAATGATGGGAAGCAAAATCAAGAATAGAG